AAGGTGTTACATACTTGGTATCGAAGCAGAATGGTCCATTCGGCCTAGGTTGTGACTAATTTTTACCCTTATGTGGGCGACATTTGTGTGAACATTGCCAATGCTTACTTCGTTAATTGCTATTTGCTTTACTATTTACGATTGGTTAATCTAAATTTGGTTGATGGATTCCATAGGATGCAATAGTTTGATAGGAAAAATCCACCTACATTTTTAGGGAAGATATGATCCAGATGGTGCTCAGAGTTGGATGTAGAATATTAAGAAGATCTTCTGGGTTGTGGTTTACACTAATGAGAAAAAAGTGTTATTTGGGACACATATGCTATTGAAAGTGGCTGAGTATTTGTGGGGTAATGCTCGTCAGCGGTTGGGAGCTGCAAGTGCCGAGATTACTTAGAAGAACTTCAAGAAATATTTCTTGGAGAAGTATTTTGCAGTTGGTATTCGCAGTAAGAAAGAGATTGAGTTTATTAAGCTGAAGCAAGGAAATATGACTAATGTTGATAATGCAACAAAGTTTAAAGAGTTGGTGAGATTTTATCCTCACTATAATGATGTGGAAGATGAAGGGTCAAAATGCATAAAGTTTGAGAGTGACTTACATCTTGAAATCAAGCAGATCATCAGTTATTAGGAGATTCGTCAATTCTCAGTGCTGGTGAGTAAATGTAAAATCTATGATGAAGATAGCAGGGCCAGATCTACTCACTACAAGAGTGCTAGTGAAAAGAAAAGTGGAAGTTAGTATCGCGGTAAACCTTATGTGACTTGATCTGATAAAGGGAAACTAAAGTTCCATCAGAAGGTTGTAGGTAGGAAAGAAATATGTAAGGAAATGCTCTTTTTCCCCTTAGATGTTTCACATGCGGGGGTGTAGGTCATCACACTGTTGAGTGCAAAAGCGTAGGCTTGAATTGTTTCAAATGTGAGAAACAATGTCAGCATTCTACTGAGTGCAAGAGTAATGATGTGTTTCAAATGTGGACAACCTGAACATATTAGCACCCATTGTCAGAAACCAAGGAAATCTCCAGGTGTCGCACATGCTCATGGTATATTGTTTGTTATGATTGGTGTGAATGTCTCGAGATCAGATAATTTTATTTGAGGTGCGTGTTTTATTAGTGGCGTTTCTATGATTGCTATGATTTCACCTGGTACGACACATTCATTTGTATCTCTTGATTCTGTCATAAATTTGAATTTTAAAGTGTCTTCTATAATTGGAAGCATGATAATTGATACCCTAATTAATGGCTTAGTGACTACTTCATTGCTGTGTTTGAATTGTCCTTTGACCATTTATGGTAAAGACTTTGGATTTGACTTGCTATGTTTACCTTTGAGTCAACTCGATGTGATTTTGGGGATGAATTGGCTAGAGTTCAACCGTGTGTATATCAACTATTTTGATAAGACTGTGTTGTTTCTCGAACTCGAAGAGAGTATGGATTTGAGGTTCATGTCCACTGGTTAAGTTGAGATGTCCTTAAGGGGAGATGATACGGTGCTCGTGATATTTGTTTCTTTGAGAGAGGAGAGCAATATTCTGGGTTATGATATACCGAAGGTGTGTGAGTTCCCTGATGTTTTTCCGGAGGATATTTGTGACTTACTACCGGAGTGAGAAGTTGAGTTTTTCGTAGATTTAGTACCTGGTACTAGACCCGGGTCGATGGCACCATATATGATGTTTGCTTCAGAGTTTACTGAGTTGAAGAATCAGTTAGAAGATCTGCTTGAGAAGAAGCTTGTCAGACTCAGTGTGTTACCACGAGGAGCACAATGTTGTTGGTTAAGAATAAAGATGGTAACATGAGATTATGTGTTGATTACCGAAAATTGAATAAGGTTACGATTAAGAGTAAGTATCCTCTTCATAGGATTGATGACCTTATGGATTCGTTGGTTGGTGCTTGTGTGTTCAATAAGATTGATTTGAGATCGGGCTATCATCATATTCGAGTTAAGGCTAAAGGTATTCCAAAGAGTATGTTTAGAACCCGATATGGTCATTATGAGTAATCAGTGATTTCGTTTAGTGTGTCTAATGCCTCAGGTGTATTCATGGAATATATGAATAAAATATTCCATCCTTACTTGGATAAGTTCATTGTGGTTTTCATAGATGACATCTTGGTGTATTCTAAATCAGATGAAGAGCATGCAAGACATCTGCAAGTTGCATTGCAGACTTTGCAAGAGAAGAAGTTGTATGTTAAGTTATCCAAGTGTAGTTCTGGTTGTGAGAAGTGAGTTTCCTTGGTCATGTGATTTATAGTGGTAGTATAGTAGTTGATCAGTCTAAGGTAAATGCGGTGTTGCAGTGGGAGACTCTTAAGTCTGTTGCAGAGATTAGAAGTTTTCTTAGTTTGGCTGGTTACTGTAGAAGGTTTATATAAGACTTTTTGAAGTTGGCTTTGCCTTTAACTTATTTGACTCGAAGGTTCAAGCTTATCTGTGAGATGCTTTATGTGAAGAAAGTTTCCAAGAGTTGAAGAAGAGGCTGACTTTTTATCTTGTCGAATACGAAGGAATCATTTGTTGTGTATTGCGATGCTTCTAAAATGGGTTAGGTGGTGTGCTTATGCAGAATCTTCATGTTTTAGCGTATGCTTCGAGACAGCTAAAAGATTCATGAGAGGAATTGTTATACCCATGATTTGGAGTTGACAACTGTGGTCTTTATGCTTAAGGTTTGAAGGCATTATTTGTATGGTTCGAGATTTGAGGTTTTTAGCGATCATAAAAATTTGAAATATTTGTTTGATTAGAAGGAGTTGAATATGAGGTAGAGGCGGAGGCTTGAATTTTTGAAGAAATATGATTTCGAGTTAAGTTACCATCCTGGTAAAGCTAATGTGGTCACATATGCTTTGAGTAGAAAGTCTTTACATATGTCGGCATTGATAGTTAGAGAGATAGATTTGATTGAGCATTTTAGAGATCTTAGCTTGGTGTGTGAGATGACACTGCAGAGTATGATGTTGGATATCCTGAAGTTGACTTACGGTGTTTTAGAAGAAATCAAAGAAGGGAATGCATCAGATTTAGGAATAATTGACCGATTAATGTTAATCAAACAATGTAAAGAAGTGGATTTCATAGTGGATGAGAATGAAGTTATGATATTTCGAGATAGAGTTTGTAAGTTGGATTTTCCAGAGCTTAAGAACAAAATTCTTGAGGAAGGTCACATAAGTGGTTTGATTATCCATCCCGGTGCTACGAAGATGTATCAAGATCTTAAGAAGATGTTTTAGTGGCCAGGTATGAAGAAGATGTTGCTAAGTTAATATATTCTTGTTTGACTTATCAGAAGTCGAAGATCGAACATCAAAACCTATCTGGGTTGATGCAAGCTCTGAGTATTCTTGAGTGGAACTGGGATAACATCTCTATCGATTTCATGGTGGGTTTGTCGAAGACAACAGGGAAGTGATTCGATTTGGCTTGTGGTTGATAAACTAACTAAGTCGACTCATTTTATTCTAATAAACATCAGTTACTCATTGCAGAAACTGACAGAGGTTTACATCAATGAGATTGTGAAGCTGTATAGTATTCCTTTGAGTATTGTTTCAAATAGAGATCTAAGATTCATGCCAAGGTTCTTGAAGAATTTGCAAAAAGCTTTGAGAACTAAATTGAAGTTAATTCTATCTACTATCCGCAAACAAACAGTCAGCCAAAGAAAAACTATCCAACTATAAATAATTAACTTAATTAACTTGAAATGTTGGTTTGATTCAACTTGAAAGCGGTAACATTTATAAATATTTTAGTCATTTTAACTTTGTTACATTTATAAATAATTAACATGAAAATGTATATTTATTAATATTTTAATCCCTTTACCTTTATTATAGTTATAAATATTTTATAATTTCATATTCATCTTAGAAAAAATTAACTACGTCGAATTTATATTGTTTTTGATGTATTGTATCTATTTAAATTAATAATGATATTTTTTAAGTATAAAAAGGAAGTTAAATTACAACTTTTGTTTAAAATCAAAAGTGAAATGCATCTAAAGTATGTGTGAGTAAACATTTTTGTATACAGAAATGCTATGTTTACACCACATCCTACACCCATTTTCTACACCGTATATACTATTCACCGTATTTATACGGTGAACAGTGTTTTTTTTAATAAAATAATATATTTTTTTAAAATATTAATTTTTTTTAAAAAAAATATTTATTTTTAAAATTTATTTTATAACACAAATATAAGATTGCGTATTAACCAATTTTACAGTTGCATTAACCATAAAAATCTACATCATTAACCAATTATTTTACCTATAATTTATTAACCACTTTCACTACTTCATTAACCAATAAAATACATACTATTAACTATGTTCTGGGAAATTTGTTCACGTATTTGTGAACAGTAAATTGGGTGTAGGGTGTAGGAAAGAGTGTAAGAATAACATTTTTCTTTTGTATAATCAATATATGAGTAATGCTATTTTTACACTAAACTTTGACACTTACACCGTATAATCATAAGGTTTTGTATTTTTTAATATTTTATTATTATTTTTACTTTATTTTCACACAAAAAACATATGCATATACTTTATTTCATAAGCTGTAACTCTTGAGTGTTGTGTTTTAGTGTCAAAATAGCAAACCTCTCACTGTATTACAACCCATACAAAAAGAAAGTCACAATTTAAACACAAAATCACTCCTCTAACAAAAGAAACACATAACCACTCCTCCTTCAATATTGAAGGAAAATATTTTACAATATAAATTAATAAAATCTCTCATCAAGCTGACTAAATATTAAAATAAAAATCAATAAGAAAATAGACATATTTATATCCCTCCTCCTTTGCCTAGTAATATGTACATATACACAGCATATCCACACTCTCTATTCTTTGGCTTTTGTGGTAAGAAGGTAGATTGTGTAAAATTTTCAATCATAAATAACACCAAAAATTGCTAAAGCATTGTAGAAATTAATTGAAGAAATCAATTTCTCAACAAAGGAATGTTTGTCATCCCTTGAAAACCATCATTTATTCCAAAAACTAAAGCTCCTGCAATACAAACACTAACATACATCAGAATTCCTTTTCAATTTGAGTAATTTTCTTAAAATATTGCTAAGTAGTCTGAAAATCTGAGCTCAACTGACACAAATTAGGCGTCATCACTAAAGTTCGAATTCTAATACTCAGGTTCGAATTCTAATACTCAGGATTGTGTGTGTAAATTTCTAATGGTTATTCGTTTACCGTAAAAAAAAATTAAGAGATCATAAGAATAGTTTTGCAAATAATTTACCTAGAGATGGCATGAAAACTGAGAGCAGAACAATTCCAGTAATCTTAAGTGGCAAACCAACTTTAAGAGTGTCTTGAATTTCAATATGACCAGTGGCAAAACCAACTACATTTGAGGGAGTTGAAGTTGGAAGCAAGAAAGCAAATTCAGTTGCCATTGCTCCTGGGATCATAAGAAGAAGAGGATGTACATGCATAGTTTTAGCTATGTGATATAAAAGTGGGATAATAAGTGTGGCAGTAGCATCATTTGAAGTTATGAACTCAGTTATAATACTACTTATAAGGGTAACTGCAGGAACTATGGCTAAATATGGAGCATTTTCTAAGAAATCTATGGCTCTTGAAAGTACATCTGCTAGACCGCTAGCTTGAATTCCGTCGGCTAATGCGAAACCAGCTCCAAGAAGTAGAATTAGGTTCCATGGTAGTTTCTTGCATTCGTTCCAATCCATTAGCTTTTCACCTTCTTGTTTTCTGTTAGGGATTATGAACAATAACACTGCCACCATAACCTATATTATGAAGAGAAAAAAAATTATTATGCGACTGTCAACGGAGACAAAATAACTATGTAACAATAAACAGTAACACACTTATACAAGTATCAGACAACTGACACGTATTGTATTAAACATATACACGTCAGACAAGTGATACGTATTGTATTAGACATATACACGTATCAGACAAGTGATACAGATTCAATCTAAAGTAAGAGAAAATATATGAGGTACTCACACTGACACTTCCATCGCCAACAAGGCCATTGAAAAATGCTCCCCATCCAGGAATGTCATCTGTGATTCTTCTTGTCATCCATAATATAATCAACAACTGCATTTTTACCATATTGCTTATTAATTAATGTGTTTGATCAGTTTTCGTTTATATTTGAGATTTGGATGATTAGAGATGCATACCCCAAACACTGACAGAACCATTTTCTCAGCGAAAGACATGGGACCTGCAAATACCAGTGGCATTAGCTTATTAAACAAAAGACTATTGAAATATTGGCTAAAAAATAAAGCATTAGAGTATACTATAAATTAACATGATGTTCACATGAGTGTGTTGCAACAAGAACACAATTTGTAAGAGATTAAGTGTTGAAACAGATGTCTAAGATTGAATTGTGTTCATTGATTTGTTGATGCAGTTACCAGTTTCAATGGGACAAGACATTTTACACAAAGTCCATCACAACAACTAGTTGTGTCTTTTTCTCATTTTTGGCACAATGAACCAAAGCACATGGAAGAGAAAATAGGCCAGGAATTATCCTAAATGAACTTAGAAGTATATTTTAGAATATATCCAAAAATTTAGAACTTTTTCTAAATTTGAAACATTTCAGTTTAGTTGGTAATTTCAGAGACATGTATTAGAATTCGAAACATTTCATTTATTTATTTTTAAAGATAAAATTTTATTTATTAAATTACTAATCTAAAAAAATATTAAAGAAAATAATAAAAAAAATGGATTAAAACAATGTCAAATAAATTAAATTATTAATAAAAATAGAGATTAATTATTATACACTTTTATTATAAATTTTTTTACACTATCAATTCATTAACATCACTCAATTGCATTATTTCATATAATTGAAATAAAAAATTAAACTCCTTCCAACGTTCAACTCAACGTTTATGATTTAATCGTGTAAAATCCTTTCATTCATAAAAATATAGTCAATCATTTAACTAGTTAAATAAATTATTTCATTAAATTAATTTTACTCAATAATTTATAAATTGAACAAACTTGGATCTATCCCTATCGGTTTTGTAGGTACCAGGTTACAGTGGTTGAAAATGAAACAGATGACAGATCCACATAGTAATGGGACCCACGTGGCAATAAATTAAGACACGTAAGCATCGACTCATAACAAAGATAACCATTCAATCATGACTATTATTTAAATATTATAATTAATTAAATACCTAAAAAATTGTCACGTATATTTAAAAAAGGAATAATACTAATTTTTGCGGAAATGAATTAGAGGCAATAATTATCCAAAAAGAAAAAACTTACCAAGAGCTTCTAATTCCCTCTTCAAATGTGCTTTACTCAAATAAGGCGATAATGCCGTCGCTGAACCTTTCCGTAGGTAAATGAAGCAAAGAATACACCAAAAGCATATAACAAAAACAAAGGCCACCGGAAAAGCATAAAAAAACCACGTGTTGAAACTAACTGGCTTCGCTCCAGGTTCTAGACTCTTCCACATTCCAACCAATATCAAATTGACACCTGTCCCAGTCAAAGTAGTCATTCCTCCGATCGGCACCGCGTAAACCACCGTCAGAACCACCGCTCTACTAAACTTGTTGACTAACTCCGATTGTTCCGGCGAAGGCGGAAGCCGCTGTAATAGCCCCGTAGCCACCGGCATCAACATCACCGCCGCCGCCACGTTGTGCAGCCACATACTCACAAAGAATGACGTGGCAGATAGACCCAATAATAATAGCGCTGGATTCAACGGTTCCCCACAAAACACAGATGTCACCTTCACATATCAAGTCATAACCAACCAATCATCAATCTCACCACTATACATATCATTTTCATTCACAATAATTAAATTAAAATAACCCATATTTTCCACCTCAAAAATAGTCCAAACATCAACTATTATAATCACACGAAATTCATATAGCAAAATAAATCAAATCATATATCAATGAAATTATTTCATTGTTGAAGCTTACCGTCAAAGCCAATCTTCTATGAACGTTGTAGCGTTCAACGGCGAGGGCGAGAATGAAACTTCCGAGTACCAGAGTGATAACATCATCCATGTAAGAGCGGGATACCGTATCAGCAGAAGCGATTCCGAAGAGAGGGAAGAGAAACAACGGACACATGGAAGTAACCGGAAGTGGTAAAGCGGACGTAACCCACCAAGTGAAAACCCAAGCAACAACAGCGAGCATGTTGCGACTGGTTTTCGGAGCGTCGAGTTTGACGAAGAGACAGATGAAAAGGGACAATAAAGGTCCAAGAAGAACGTAGAAATTCTTGAGGGTGAAAAGGGACTTGAGGGTGAAAAGGTTGGTGTGTGTTCTTTGGAGGGGAAGAAGTGGGACCTTCAGGTTGTTGTTGATGGACTCATCGGAAACTGATGTTTCACTGTGTGCTCCGGTCATTTTGGTGTTTTTGAATTTGAGAGAAGAGAAGAAGAATGATTGTTGTAAAGTTTGAGTGTTGGCCTTTTATTTCTCAATTTTCATATGCCAAGAAGTGACCAAATTTGCCTCTCATTTATTTTTAATATTTTCTAAATTTGACACAAGGAAAATTCAAATATGTTTTTTTAATAGAATAGCAAAACAAATTTGATTATTCATAATATAAGTAAATTTTGGTTAATTAAATTTTCTTTTAATAATTGGAATAAGTTAGAGTCATGTTTACTATTATGCAACAGTATTTAAAGAAATAGTATAAATAAAATTGTGGAAAAAATTAACAATTCATAATTTGGTTTGAAGATAATGATTTTATAAAATAATTTAAAATGAAGCTTTTGAAATTTTGTGAATATATTTCAACATGTAATTTGTGCTTGCATTATGATGAAGTGATAAAGCAGAGGCGTGGATAATGTGCCTATTAGATGAAAAATCCTTGTATTTTAGGTAAATATAATCTCTAGAAGTGTTTTCAATTTCATCTTTTCAAACATGGCGAGAGCAATTACTAACAATCACGGAAGTGTGAATTTATCATCAACCACGAATTAGTATATGAAGATTTCTTTCTTAAAGATTTATCCGCCAATGTGTTTAAATCCTCTATGATACAAGAGGTTCTTCTTCATTTAACAATAAAAACTATAATATAACATGTAGATGAGAATCTAGGAAAAAGTAGAAGGATATGAAGAAAAAAAATATTGTGTATATTTTCTTGTTATGTTGCTTCAAAAGCAAAGAGAAATGGATACATGATTTTACCCAACTTCAAAATGTGACCCCTGCTTCTTTAAAATGTGTGTAATTCTTTTGGTAAAAAAAGAAGAGTTCAATTATAGGCATGACTCATTTTAGTTTTGACCAAGTAAAAGGATATTAATAGATGGCTCAAGAGAAAATAAATTAGAAGGAATAAGTAGGCAACATCCTTATAATAACAATGAGTGAACAAAAATATAATAATTAAATATTAACTAAAATACATCCGAAAATAATTGTTATTGAAACATCCTTAATTATTAAAATTTGAATAAGAAATGATTAGTTTCTAGAGTTTTGAAATTGATTTAGAGTAAGATAAAGGGAAGAAAAAAAAAACTCAACTTAAGTGTTTTTAGGTTGTGCAAGGGATTCTATTCAAGAGTGAATGAATGCATATGGGAAAATTATGAAACTTTTTTATTTATTTAATAAAACACTTTTATTAAGCTGAAAAAAGCAAAGTAACAGAGACAATGTGGTCCTTCGCGATATGCTTCAACCAAGTCCTATAACCAACAAATCTACCAATGTCTATTATATGGTGAGCATTTACATTACAGTCTCTTTTAGAGCTGACAATGAACCGAATCAATTAGAAAATAATTTAGAATTCGGTTCGATAATTAAATCGTTGAAATAAGTTTATGAACCAAATGAGTTGAATATGAACGAAAAACTATGTTCGTTTACTAAATGAGGTGAACTTGAATTATACATAGCTCGATTTGTTAGGTTCACGAGTCAACTTGATTATATATGAGAATGATTATATTATTTTTAAGAGTAGGTGTAAAGATTTACTCCAAATTTTAACCATATATTATCCCTTATGCACTAGTTATGACAATAAAGCTGACAATTGCATTTAGAGTCATTTGTTGGAGAAATTATGCCATTTGCTAAAATAACATGTGTAATTGTAAAAAAAACATGTGTAATGAAGTTTGCAAGTGGTGTAATCATTTTGTGATAAAAATCTATCAATTTCTAGTAATTTTTGTGTGTAATATTTCATTAAATTTGTAAGTTTCCTAAATATTTGATGAAGTTATGGATTTTAAAGATAAATTTAAACTTCAATGGAATGTTTTTTGAATTAGACTTTCAATTATGTCTCTTGAAAGTTGTGTAGTTTTTAAATTAGTTTGTTTTTAAAACGAAGTTAAATTTCATACTCATAACTTTTAATTTATTTCAATATTTTCTTTTTAAAAAAATATTAATTTAAAATGTCAAATATTTAAAAATAAAATAGACCTGAAAAATGGCTTTTAAGTCTGTGTAGCAAGTGAGCTGAACCTAACGAGATGAACCGAATAGTTTGTAAACTTTTAACGAGTTGAGTTTGAGCTTAAAAAAATTCTGTGTCGAACTCAAACTGAGATTTGAGCTGAATTAATTCTTAATGAGTCGAGTCGAGGTAATTCGAGTCGAGCTAAGGCGAGTTCGACTTGACTCGGCTCATTTCCAGCCCTAGTCTCTCCTAATAAACATAACAACAACAATATTACACATCCTAATAAGCACTTGACAATCCGCTACTAGAGGTTTAAGCACAGCAGAAACAGAAAAACCATTGATGTAATTAACCACTCCAAGCGCATCCAATTGAAGAATGAAACATTGAAGTTTAATAGCGTTTTCGACTTGTAGTCCCCACCTAAGGGCTAAAGCTTTTGCCACACACAGTTCAACCACGCTTTGGACTCTACGACACACTAACAGGATCACATTATTTTCAGAATCTTTGATGACGCACCCTAAGGACACCACTCTCTCAATAAAGCATCCATCATCAACTTGGACAAGACAAACACTATCTGGCACGACTGCAGTAGAAACTTTGTTCCGGTTTTGGCTAGGTTTCGCGTTGGCCCTATTAAATTCCTCCACATGAAGCATGAAGTTTAGGAGAACATCCTTCGACTTATTCCGCTTCCTGTTAAACACCAAACTATTCTTAGCTTTCCACATATTCCATAGTAAAGTATTGAACAATTGGAAAACATAAATGTCTTTCAAGCTCAAGCATCTTTCCAACCAAACAAGAGGATCCGTATCAGGATAAATTCACAAATCAAAGGGGATGAAAACCAAACAGCTTTTGCCAACTCACAGTGAAGGAACACATGGTCTAATGTCTCCGGACAACTGTCGTACCCCAAAATTTGACCATCATTTATCAATCATCTGGTCACCTCAATGACCTAAAAAGTCAAAGGATGTCATTTTGACTTTTTACTAGTATAAGGGTTTATGAGGTAATATTGGGGGGCTATAGAGAAAGTTTACTAGACTATAGTTTTATTAGCATTTTTGTTTTGATATTCTAGAACATTTAATTGATAATAAGTATCATTAGGATAAGTCATTAACTAGAATTTTATGCATTACTTGATATTTTAGTCCTTCGGAATTCACTTCTCAATACAAAGTCAATTCACTTCTCTAAAACTCTTGAACAAATGAAAATCATTTTGTCCTTCGGGATTTTCTCCTCAAGTCTTTTCAGAAAGGGCATGCCATTTCTGTTCTATCGCAAATAGGTAATGCATAAGGCTCCAGACAACAAATGACAAACACCTAACTGCTGGAATGCGAACTTAGCATCGCTCATAAAAACACTAAGCAAACTGTGGTCCCATGAACTAAAAACACTCTGATTTCTTCATTCTCGTATAAATGAAGATACGTAGGCACAAGACGACGAAATCTTGGCGAGTACCTTCCCTCTTTCGCCCGTAGTCCTTCGAACTACGATGACTCTAACTTTCCCATTGCACGAGGGAATACGTTAGCATAGAATTGCAAGATCCTATCGAGTCCCCTTTTGTTTTTCCCTTTCTCATTTTTCATTCCCTTAGCAATTAAGTTTTAGATAAACACACCCTTTGATTATAATAACAAGAATGGATTTCGTTGAGTACAATGGACGCGAAGGATGCTAACAACTTCCTCTTGTGTAATTAACTCCCGAACCTTGGATTTAGTTGCGAGACCATGTTCTTTCCCATTTTAAGGGTTCTTCGATCATTTTCTTTCCCTCGCCGGGATCAATAATGTAACACCCCCTTTCTATACCCCCAAATAAACAATTAAATTATTTAGGCACTTAATAAAATTTTCTATCAGAGTATAAAGTAACACTTGGTATAAAAGAGGTATGTCACATTATCCAGGAAATTCAAAACACATACAACACCTGCTCATAAAGATATGCAACAAAGGGTAAATCACCACAAAGGAACTTAGTCCTTAAAACCCACACATTAATATTTAGAATAAAAGCGGAAACATCTAAACATTGAATCACTTCATTCATATAAACATTGTATACATCAACAGTTTAATTCAAGTCATAAGTCAAGTTTACAAAACATTCCGGTAGATACATACACAGATGTACCACAAAAGAACCAAAAGAATTTCTATCTACCTGGTGCTACATATCAGAGCCAACCGGCCAAAAAGAACGAAACCACGCTTCGCAAAAGACCTCTAGCAAAACTACTCTGCAATGCCTCATAGAGCATCATAAAACAGCAGAAGGGTGAGAAACATTATCATAACAAACAATGCATATAATATATATATATATATATATATATATATATATATATATATATATATATATATATATATATATATATATATATATATATATATATATATATATATATATATATATATATATATATATACCAACATAGAATACACGTAACACATTTCTCACCGCAATGCATCAAAACTCAATCATATATACATCGCAACACATATATAATTCATCAATTATTCACATATTTCACATAAACATACACAACTATGTTCGTTCTGCCAATATATCATATGAAGATAATAATGCACTCATAGAGACCGACTCACGACTCTATGCAGATGCAAATGCGGTACCGACTCATTCAGTAGGTTCAATTGAAGAACCAAATGGAACCATCGCTCGTTACCGAAGTAACTCCCCGTCGGGCCTACGATGTTCACCCATCGCTCACACCCCACATGGGCACACGATGTTTCAGGATTGCTCACACACCACAAAGGCACACACTCGTTCTGCAGATTCTCTACGGAATCAAAATAAACTATCGCTCACACCCCACAAGGGCACACGATGTTTCTGCAGATCCTCCTAGGGATCAAAGACAAACCATCGCTCACACCCCACAAGGGCACAC